AAAAAAAAAAAGCAATCGACCATACTTAATGAATTGAAGAAGAATATATATATAAAAAAGGCATCATATGACAAAACGTTCAATCATCATTAAAGAACATACATGAATAATTATGATTGTCTCAAAAATTTGCTTTTATTTCTTTTTGTTTTTTTTTATTAACCTTCCTTTTTTCTTATGAAAATTTATATTTGCAATAAACGATTGATCTGGTCAATTTGATGAAATAGGTTAGTTGAATTTAACAAAATTAATAGAAAGAACTATGTAATTATATAACTGATATAAACAGAATATTAGAAATATTCTTCATTTAAGAAGATTTTGAGCTATGAAAAGATGAATAGTTAAGATAGGGATTATGAAACCATCAAGTATATGAGGCATGAGATTAAAACAAAGATTTTTTTTTGTGCATTCAATGCATCAGTGTCTAAAATTATCAACTCGAAAATTTTAGTGTCTAATATTCTTTCTTTCAAAACAGTTAATATAGACTTTTTAAATTTATTATATACTTATTAGAAAAGATAGAGGATTAAAAACTGAACAAAATGCGGTATTTCAATATAATAGAGTGTTGATCTACTAAAGTTTTATATCGTCAACATTGGATGAAAAATAACTCTTTCGATGGGCTCAAAATGTTCATTTGATAATAATCTACATGTTTGGTGGATTTCATAGCTATGACATAGGTAACTTACATTTTCCATAGGAAAAAAATGTCTCTAAAATGTGTTTGATTCAATATAGTTTTTTAACGGTGATTATGAATGACGTATTTATTTTGTTTTTAAATTGTGTCATAGCTACGAAAACTGCTAAAAAGTTTTTTCATTAATAAACTATCAAAATCCATTATATGAGAGAGAGATGTAAAGCTAGTTTCGCTTCGAACATATCATTTATTTTTGAATATATTTTTAAGATTTTGTTGGGTATATAAAGTTGTACAACGTATATAAAATTCAGCTTAAAGATCTCTTATTCCAAATCTCGATAGGTGATAGATTATTATCAAATGAACATTTTTTGGACCCATCAAAACAGTCATTTTTTTATCAATGTTCATATTATAAAACTTGAGTTGGTCAACACTGTATAATATTGAAATAGCTCATTTAGTACAATTTTTATAGGATAATTTTTAAGTTTTTTTTTCTGATAAGCATATGACAGCGGTAAAGAGTTATGGTATTGATTAACTTTCGAGAGAAAGGATATTGAATGTAAAAACTATGGCTTTAGTGATTTTATGACGTCGATGCATTGAATGCACAGAAAAAAAACTTTTTTTTTTATTGAGTGCTTCGTATGCTCGATCGTCTCATAATCGCTCTCTTAACTACTCATTTTCTGGTTCATCCTGATTTGTATATTAAAACATGAAGAGTGATACTATTTATCTCTTTTTTTCCATAAAGTAATAAAAACCTCAGGATTGAATAACGTAATACATATATCAGAGTGACCATTATGATCGGATATCCCTATCCTACAGCTTCGATAATATATTGGAAACATATGTTTTTTTAAACCAATTATAATACTGATGTAATACTGATGATTTGTTATTCTTTCGATTATATATCTTGTTCGAAGTCATAACAATCAAGTATGTTCATAAAATGTTCTAGTAAAATACACATTCATGTTTATCGACTACATAAATTTAGCAAAGAAAAGACTTAGTAATCAGAGCATGGATCGACTCTTTACTCATTTTCAGTTGTATATCTTACTATTTCACATAGTAAGTACGAATTACAATGGAAAAAAGTTCATAGAAGTATATTGCAACAAAAGATTCTACGAAGACGTCTGTTTATTTCGACTTCGCACAAGATACATAATCAAAATAATAATAATAAGTCATCAGCAATACATCAATACTATAATTGACAAAAAATATCATATATTTCTGATACATTATAGGAGCGGTGCGGTAATACTATTCGACTAGATTGTCAATCGTCAGATATTTTTCAAATAAATCTAATTGGTAGATATATTTTCCTAAACGAATTGTTCCAACTTTTTCTGAATTTTCGTTTCCTATTGTGTGAACAAAATGCACAAAAAATGATATTGTTTCAGTGAATTTTAGAAAAATATAGTGAGTAAAATAATTTGATATAATACTCTTGACGTCTAACTTCATGATAATTGATTCGAACTTGGTTTTCATTAAAGAATGTTTATGAAGCCAACAATTTTCTAATATGAATACCAGACAAGAAATTTTTAATTAGAGAGAAAAAGCTTTAATTTTATGATACTTTAAGCAAAGCCGTTGTAAATTGATAGAATTTGATTTTGTTAGCTATTACTGGATGCGTATAATGACATTTTAAAACAAAAAAAAAAAATTAGAAGTCGATGTGCTGAAATAGCTCTACAAATAGCCTACTAACAATCTGTTAACTTAATCATTTTTATATTAAAAACTATAGTCTATAATAATGTACGTTAAGAAGAGATCATATGTTGCCTTGAGGTTAAAATCTACAGTCTATAATTATTCGCATTGATCAAAGAAACGTATACTTTGCTTTATAACAATCTACCGTTCGCTTATTATTTTCTGCTTATTCTTTTGTTATCGTTGTTTAACTTATTCGTCTCAATTGAAAGTTGTACTTTTTTAAACACTAAGAATAGATCGAACGTTTTGATTTTTTATAAGTAATCCAAAATAATCTTTTTTTTGTTGTTGTTGATGTTTATTCATATCAATGAATTATTCTATAGAGTAAATAATACAAATTGTATAAAATATGAAATGGTTTCCGTCAGATTACTGACAAAACTGATGGCTATTGTAGCTCCTTTTTTGAAACTATAGAAAATAATCGTCGAAAATGAGCCTTAGATTTGATTAGAGAATAGAAAATAGGAAAAATAAATGTAGTACAAAGTTTGATTTTGATATAGACTTCATAGTTTTGGAGTCATTTTTATTAAAACTAAATGTTCTTTTAAAGTTGTATGAGACGAAAAGGTGGCAAAAGTTTAACATTAAAACAAAATTTTTGTTTCACTTATGTAATTAAAATATAATCTGAGACCAACTGGCCATTAAGAATATTTGACAATCAATAACAAGCAACTCAGAAGTAAGTTTGAAAGTTTGAGAATGGAAATTTCTAGTTTAGACCAAGTTTAGATTTTGAATCTTTCAGTAACCATTCTTGAACTTCATCAATGCATTCATTATACTTCGAGACCAGTCATTGTATAATGGGAACAGTTGTGTCAAAATTATGATCTAGAATTTTGATCATGACTAAAACTTTATCAACTCGAAGTTTGAAATTCGTTTTTCTCGAACATTCAAACCATGAAAATCGATATAAAAAAAAAACAAATAAAAATATACCAACTTTAACACTCGACAAAGTAATAAAAAGAAATCGGTGCAAACCGGCTCCAAGCTTAGTATAATCTTGATGAAACAACGAAAGATAGCTTGATAATGTGTCTACACTTTTATGACTTATTTATTAAGTATATCAAGATGTAAGATGTACAAATTCGATGATGAATATGAAGTTAAAATAATTTATTGTAGAATGATACATAACAAAGCAAATTGATAAACATTGCTAACATAACAAAAAACAGGATTAGATTTAATGCAAAAGCTGAGTACGCTTCTCGATTAAGTTAGATTCGGTAATCCTTTTTCATTATTGTCGATATTATTCTGCACAATCCACCAATAATTAAATTAGTATGTGAATTACTGAGCATCAATTGATTTTCATAATCCGATGAATAAAAACCTGCTTCGTAATATAATTCATATTTCATTATAAATAAAGATTTAAGCCAACATATTTTCAGTCTATAAAGAAACATGTTTGATGAAATTAATGATGAAAGTACTATATCAATAAGTAGAAGCTAACGTTAAATTTTCATCCTATAGAAATTGATGAGAGTAGTCCTCCAACTGATAAATTACTTTTCAGTCAAGCCTATACACATTATGTAGACCCAAATGGGCTACGAGTATTTTGGAAAGAGTTCGTGCCCTTAGTTTTTTTGCTGTGAAAACACTGTAATTCTAGAGTATTTTTTAAATGAGTTCTATGATCAACTTCAGAAAAACTAATTTTCGAATTTTGACTTTAAACTTTGCATAGAGATTGGCAATCGTTGTTTTTTTTAATGAATGTTTTAGATCTTGTTGCTGTTTCTATCCTAAGATATAACTATAGTAATAGCATGTCTTTTTCATCGCTCATATATACCAGCAAATTTGATGTTTTTTATTTCAAGATCGAAGCCAATTAAAAGAGTTAAAACTCTCACAATAAATTACTCTCATCAAGATCTATCTTTATGCAAAGCTTGAAGTCGAAATTCGAAAATTCAGTTTTTCCAAAGGAAATCACGGCATTCATTTAAAAAAGATACCGTGAAAGTGCAGTATCTCGGCAGTAATAAGCTAAGGCCACGAAATCTTGTCAGGATACTTATAGCTCATTTGGGTCTGCATAATGCAAATAATCTTGACTCAAAAGTGATTTATCATTTAAAGTACTTTCTTTGTAAAGAAAAATGGAACGATGTTAAGGTATTATTACATATATAGACATCGATAGTATAATATTTTGTATTTATATGGTATTGTCTTTAGTAATTATGAGTAATATCAAATATAATAAACTATATTTCATATATATTTGTCATAAGACGATATTATTTATTTATTTACTTATTTCTTTATTAAATATTTCATAATTGGTTTCAAGAGAACAAATGTGAAAAATAAAATAAAAGCAAAAATGACTAATATTGTGCTCTTGTAAAATCATAAGTATTATTAAAATTTTAATAATTTATCATTTTATATTTGTTCGATAAGTACATCATTTGATATAACATGTAACATACTGTATTCGTTTATTGAATTTGATTTAAGTTATCATATAAATACCGATTCTTTTCGCTTTTTTATATTCTGATTTTCTTTCAATAAAATAACAAAGATGCGTCTTTTATCATTCGCCAATTTGTTCTTCTTCTTTGCTTTGATCATGGTTCTTCACGGTAAATTAATTCACAAACGAAATGCAAATGGAATCTTGAGTATACCTACAAATAACAATGCTAATGGTGATCAAGAAGCTGTATCCAATACGGATTCTCTTGGTACAAATCGTATTCCAGCCCGTATACGAAATCGCTATCATATGTTTGGAAAAAAATAATATCATGTATTCATTTATTTAATATTTCATCAATAAAAAGAATGAAATATGCTGATGAATTTTAAGATGTTTATTCTTTTTTGTTTATCTAAAACTCATAATTCGTTGAAATTCATAAAAATTTACTTTAAAATCTTTATCTAAAGTATAAGATGAATGATATATTTAATAAATATTTTGTTAGAAGAAAAAGAAAATCACATATACCAATATCAGCTTCACGAATCATTTCATCGATATCTTCATCTGTAATTTTTTCACCTAGATTAGTCATAATTTCTCGTAAATCTTTTGTTTCAATAAAACCATCATCATTTTGATCGAATAGATTAAAAGCATCTTTGAGATTATCTTCTGTTGTAACATTTTTCTTAATAAATGTTAACATAAAACTGAGATATTCTTCAAATTCAATAGTTCCTAGAAGAAAGCAAAAAGAAAAAGATTACAATAATTTCAATTAGTATGAAATATATTATTTACCTGATTTATCAATATCAAGTTGATTGATAAATGTAGTTAGTTCACTTTCAGGAACATTATATCCAAGATCTTCGAGAACTTTACTAAATAGAAAATAAATTCAATTAAAATTATTATCAATAATTATTTCCTAATTGATTATTCATTGTCAAATTCTTACAGTATTTATTAACGGATGCATCCGAATGAATATCTCTCTAAATATTACCCATCAAGAATCATCGCTATGCCTTAATCTGTTTTTTAGAAAGATTCATGATTCAATTTTCTACAAGAACGTATCACAAGTTTTTCTTAATAATATTGCGACATTTCAGTATTGACAACTTTTACAAATAAATACACAGTCTATTTAAATCTATTCGTTAAAGTTTTAGACTTACGAACAAAACAACTGTTAGTGCAATCCTCGTGGGATTAAATTGTGAAATACGATGTAACTGCTCTTGCTAATCACAGAGAGATTGTTGTATTCTATCTATTCAAGGACACGTTTCTTCACTATCCTTTTTCTGACTAGCGCTGGTCACGGTTTGTGCGGAGTCCAAATTTTTACCTCTATACTTCAAGATTCTTGTTAGATTCTGATTTTATGGCACTTGAAGAGCTCTATCTTGTGATTAGGGTCGTAAAATTTTTGTATGAATACCTACCATGTAAATACATGATTTCTCTTTGTTTCCCAACTTTACAAAAAAAATAACTGTTTTCAATCATTGATTTTAAAACTCTCAGAAAAAGTTGTATGAATCGATTTTATTTCTATTTCAAGAGAATATGAATGGTGCATCAGATTGTAATATCAAAATTTGAATAGGGGTCGTTATTCGGGTACATTTCGCAAAACAAGCAAGTTTTATGTTTGTTTTTGACTCACTTTTAATAAAGTAATGTTCGTGTCAAAAAGAAAAACTTGGTTGAAAGGAATTTCAGTGTACATAAGGAGAAAGAACGTACTTATTTATACTCCTAAACGCACTATTTCATGTTGGTATATATATGTAATTACAAAGCTAAAAGAAAATGCTGAATTTTTTGAAAACTAGACATATTGACAACTAGAAGTATTATTAAATCGAATATTTCAGATTTGTATTCTATAGCACAACTTGTGATACACTGTTGTAGAAAATTGAATCGTGAATCTTGAACAAAAAAGATTTAGACATGGTAATAAATTTTGATAGTGTTATTAAGAAAATAATTTGAAGGATATTTATTCTGATGCAATCGTTATATGAACATTTTTTGAACTTTTTATAATGTTTTAAATTCATTTGTTTATTTACCTAAATTGTTCTGTTGTAATTGACCCTGTCATTTCTTTATCAAACACAGCAAATGCATCACGTATTTGATCGATTTGTTCTTGACCTACTTCTGTAGTTGTTGAGCCAGATCGATTTGTCGATATAGATGATCGACTCGTAATCGATGTTGTAAATGATCTGACATCATCATCATAATGTACGTTAAGTGTCATATGAGATACATCTTCAGAATTTGATGTATGATGACTTGTTGACATGTCTATTCCGATAAAACTAAATTGTTTTTCAAATCTTTTATTCGCGCTTTATATATAAAATTTCAATTTTTCATTAAAACAATATTATATCTTTTTGATAAATAAATATTCTTGAATTTACATGTTTCAAAAAGATAAAGGTATCTACTTTCAATGTGATAACGAGCATAAGAATTATTTAGTTTATGAAATTGATTAAGTTTCATATTTTACATTTAGAACTCATCTCTGACTTAAGAAATGTGCAAGAAACTGTAAGCATGATACTCGTGTAAAAGAGATTTTTATTTTTGAGTAAATGTGACTTGAATACTAATAAGATTACTATTTAGATTTTATTACAATTCAGGATTAGGTCAGTCAAGCCATTTTCGAGTAGAATAGATTAATAGATGAGCGGGACCAATCGTTTTTGGTTCTTGTTTGGCGCTTAGTGATACATGTATTAGTGAAAAAAAGCAATATAATTTTCTAGCAATGTCAATGAACTCGAAACATTTTTTACAACCTGCATGACTTCTAATACTTTCCTTCTTAAACATTAATTAATGGTTTTAGGTAACTAATGTTTTGTCTATTCTGCACGTTTATATGTTCAACATCTTTGTTTTTTAAGAAAAAAATAGTTAATTTTACTATCAAAGTTGCAACAGCACATATTGAATTGATCCTTACTGAATAATTTTCGCGTAAACTTTTAAAACACACGCGTCGTAAGCATATGACATTTGACACAAATGTTACGCAATCATAAAATATACTCCAATGAATAAGTGTTGATCCTCGTTCTGATCCCGATCCCGGCAGAATCGAGACCTCGGCCATCTTATCATATCTCGAGTCAAGTCCATTTTTTCGATTTCTATCTGTTTTTATAAAAAGATGTTAACAACAAGTTTTTATGCATAGAAAAACGAAATAAGAACAGTTCTACATAAAATAAAATAAAATAATTACTATAACCTTTTCAACAAAATAAGGACAGTAAAATCAATCGTTCTCTTTCAAACAAGTTTCACGAGACAGTAAAACAAGACATCAATTTTTATATACGAAAAAGCTGAAACTTAAAATTGTTCATAAGCAAAAAGTATTTGTTCACATTTTATTTTATGTTTTATTGCACTAAACACACGTTCAATTGATGCTGATATATCAGTAATAGACGTAATTTTTCAAGCAGGTCTATTAAAAGATGGATATGAGTTTTTCACTAGTGAAATTTTCTTTATGTTGCAAACAGTCAAGCTCTACTGAAATGCGTTTTTGAATACATGACTCAAGAGTCAAATCAAAATATTTAAACAAATTTGACTTCATTCAATCATTCCTGTTATAACTAGCATATACATACTGAAAAGATCTAACTTCGACAGGGTACATGAGATATTAATAAAACTTTACATAGATATTAGGCTCATGGAAATGCATTAAAAAAGAAATTTGACGTCGCCATACCTTATTGTACAGGAGATTTCCATGGTCCAAGCTGCAAAATTCAGGTTTCTTTCGTTTGAAGGACAACACCTTACTATTTTTGGATGAGAAAGAACGGCTTTTTCTTGAAACTTTTTCCTCTGTTTCATTTTTCGGATCATCGAAACTTGAAAACTCTGGAAAACTCAGTGATAAATCTAGAATTAAAAATTAATTAGAACATTTCTTTCTCTCGTTTGAAGGACTATACATACATTTATTGATTAAAAAAAATACACAGCTCTCTAGAAAGAAGTACATTAAGATGAAATTTGTCCGTAATTCGCTCTGTACCAAAAACAAAACAGTCGATTTGAAGAAGAACGTAAAAGAAGTTTTTTTTCTATATAGTCTTCATATTATTACTTAAAACGAAGGTGAAACACAATCGAACTACTTGTCTATGCACCGTAGATTGTTCTCGTATGAGGTACATTACTAAAGATTATGCTACCTGAAATTACGTTTATATTTGTTATACCATTTAACAACATACGAATGAAACAAGAATAACAAATCGAAATTTTTATTAGGTTTTGGTTGTGGATGAAGAGAATATCCATTTCCATGTCCTCATGTCATTGTAGATCTCAAAATTATGTCTCTAAGATGCGTAAGATTTGATTATCTCTGAAAAATATTTGTTTACTTTGCAGATACAACTACGAAAAGAAAAACGTTCCCTGATTGCTCTAGACATCATGATTTGTCCGAACAGTTTCAAAGATTATTCATAAAGTCTGTAAAAGTCTTTAAGAATCAAAACTCTTTTTTATAAATTTGTACACTCAGCAACTCAGGCAACATGTTCATATGTTTATCTGAAAAATCAATATTTTGATGAAAATTGAGTTTTTAGAGGGGAGGGGAACCGTTAAAAGCAAATTCAATAGTATGGATTAAGTTTTATAAAAAGACTACTTTTATCTGATGATTAATAAAGCCACTCAATTTATCACCTATAATTCAAGAGGAGATTAATTCTTATTAGAAAATATGTACTCTTTTTATCTTGAGAAAACATACTTTATTGGGCTGTCTTAAATTAATGTATAAAAAGATAATTTGATTGCTGCATAAGTATATATTTAGATGAATATTTAATCCAGATGACTTCATCATTAAGTCAAGTGAAACATCATGACTTTTGATGTAATAATCCAATGCAATGTGAACACAAAATAAAATAAAATAAAACAATACTTTGTACAAATATATACTTGAAAACGAGAATGTTTTCTTTTTTTATCAAAAGTCAAAAAAATTCATTTCAACCAACATTCACTTTGTTGAAAAATCTTTCTATTATTATTTCTATCAGAAATTTCGACAACAGTTATCAAATTAATAATTAAACATAAAATCGTATGATTTTCTAGATTATTTTTGACGTTAAAAACTCTCAGTACAATTTATTATTAGTTCAAACATTTTCATTAATTAAACCAGGAGGAGGCGAGAGAACGAAAATTTTATTCATTTCTACTTTAGAATACTTTGCAAATCGTTCTGAAAATATTGGATCAGACAGTATCACTAATCAATTAGTATTTATATCTATTTTGTTCTGAATATAGATCTTGAATTTCAAAGAAACGAAATACTTTTTTTTTACTACTTCTAACGTCTTATTTTTGTCTTTATCTGAGGTTTAAGCAAATTTATTAAAGCTTTAGTAAATATAAATTGAATCGTGTTTCATCTATATACCGAAGTGATAAAAAGAATCTCGCTAAGAAAATAGAAAAAAAAGAAGATCTGTTCTATTGATGTGTTGTACGTGATGTGTATTCAGGATATTTTAAAAATATAATCTGATGAAAAATAACCTGTATCCTAAAACCTCTAAAGACCTTGATTTACGATCGTTGACTGTAGGTCATACTCAAACACATATATAAAGCAATAGTTTTTACGTTGTATTCTTAATTCTCTCAAATCGTCATTGTCTTTTATTTTTCTTATCTCTTTTTACAAAAGTAGTTATCACGAAAAACAATGGGGCTGCATCCAAAACAACTCAAACAATATGCTGCACAATGTCTTGCTGAACTTTTTGGAACATTTATTCTGGTGTTTATTGGGAATTTATCTGTGGCTCAATATAAATTTACTAAGCCACGTATTAATAGCAATTTTGGAATCAATCTATCTTATGCAACAGGAGTTTATGTCGCTCTAATGGTAGCTGGACCCATTTCAGGTTAGATAATAGAAAAAGAAGAACTGTACAGATTAAGCAACGATTTATTCTCATGTTTGACTGAAATGATTATTTAAGAAATTATAAATGTTTTTGATAACTTAGTTTCGTTTTAAGCTGATTATTAATCTGCTTATTTATGTAGACGTAAATTAGGGCACGTAATGATCAATTCTGTTGAATCATAGATTTTCTTCAGGTTTAGTTACTAAATGTTAAATGCTACCAAAAAATACGTACAGAAATTTCAAATAATCTGGCAAAGTGAATTCTGACAAGTCTTGTGTGATAAAAAACAAAATACTCTATATTTGTGTACATTACAATCAAACAGATGACAACTATCTTTCTCATGAAATTATCGTTACTCTAGTTTGTCATGGACTGTTTTATGTAAAACTATTTTTGTCTGTAGAGAATAAATTTCCAGGTCGTCTATATTAAGTTTTTATAATTATACCATTCTAACATTATCATTGAGTTAAGGATCAAAAATGACCTATTCTTATTTATGTAAATATGCAGATTAAAACTCTCTATATTACATGTTATACAAAGATTAAATTTGTTTCTTTTTTGCGTTTTTCGCCTATGTCTATGTTCGTGCATTATAATGAGTTTGAACAAGCACTGCACGTGGTGATAAATTGCATATGGAAAACTCATTCTTGTCTACTTCAAGTTAACAGTTGTCACAGGAAAGACAGCACCTCATTTATGGCTTGAATCACCTATACAATGTCATAAAAGCTTCGAGGTGTGGTGTACACTATTCTTTAGATAAAATATCTAGTGTTTTACTAATAACTCAATAATTAATTTTGTAGAAAATGACTACAAGAGAAGTATGTGTTTTTGTTGAATGTATGTGAACAAATCATCTGAAAGATTATTATGTATATTCGTATAAATAAAGACAAGGATTTGCAAAAAAAAACGCATAACTCTCTTATGATCATTTTTATTGTATGACTACTTTCAATATGCTTTTTATTGTGAAAGCATTTATTGTTATTAGATAAGCTTAAAATGTATCAACGCAGTTTACTATATGCTTTACAAACGAATGAAAATGACACATTGTGTAGTAAATAAAAAGTTACGCTGCACAATGCAATATGGTTGTATTAAACCAAAAGAATTCTCATGACATGCTTTTTTTCCCAATCTAATGAATTTTATTTGGGAGAAGAAATTTTTAATATAAGAATATCCCTCTAGTTATTTGCCAAAAGACATGTGGTAGAATGATCATATTTTTCCCTCCGGATTTGTTTTTTGAGATTTGCCTATATGAGAGTTATCAGAGGATCAGTAGAAACTTTTTTCTATGACTTAGTTTTGCGCCATTTTAAAGTAAGTTGTTTGACACACCTGTTATACCCCCAAAGGTTCGAAATTTTCTTTTGTTTCAAATATTCTCAGAAGTATATCGTTTTTAAGCAATTTTGTGCGTTGATTGTGGATATCATATTTAGATTTCGATTGAATTAAATTTTATTAACAAAAGAAGCAATTTATCGGTAAATAGACTGCAGAGACAGTTTCCCATATATTAGCTTATCTATATATGAAAATCTTCTTGTTTTCTTTCTATATTATGCCCAAATGTACATCAGTGTTTATTCTATTCATTCCAACTCGATTAAATTTTAAAAACAATCGATAACCAATCAAAATATTCTATTCATTGAGAAGTATTTTACAGAAAGACATAGTTTTGTGTGACTTCTTCGTAATAGAAAATCATCAGGTGTTAAATAGTCATATGTACCGTTCGATGAAGTTTTTTCCAGTCCATTTGAATATCGAATTAGATTCAAAAAGATGTACCTGATATTAGATCTGCAGAAATTCTCTAGAAAATCAGATACGAAATCGTAAGGATTTTGAAACTCTTAACAATATCATCGTGTTGAGTATTTCCTAAAGCCTGTTTCTGAAAACTTTCATAGTTTCTCTCCATCGCTGCCAGTCCTATAGATGACTCTTTTATTTTGGTTAACAATCGGCAACCTCGTATATCTGTTTAAGTATACTTGTTTGAACATTGGAAATTATCGTACTTTTTTATTTTGAAAACTACCAATATACTTAAGTAGTGCATTAGTATCAGACAATCAAATTTGAGCCATTTAAATTTGTTTCTAGGTGCTCATATTAATCCAGCTGTAAGCCTTGGTCTACTTTCATTACGTAAAATGAAAGTTATTCAATGTTTATTCTATATTGCTGGTCAAATAATCGGCTCTTTTCTTGCTTCTGCTATGGTTTATCTTGTTTATATTAGTCAATTTAATATCTATGATGGTGGTATTCGACAAGCTGAAGGTCTAAATGCAACAGCAGATATATTTTATACAGTACCAGCAGCAGGTGTTCCTAATTGGAATTGTTTAATTGATACAATAACTGGCACTGGTCTTTTGCTCATATTTATAATGGCAGTTGGTAATGATTATAATGATTTAATATCAAATTCCGCTAAACCCTTTGCATTTGCACTTATGATAACTACTTTTGGTTTTTCTATGAGTCTCAATTGTGGAAATCCAATTAATCCAGTACGTAATTTTTTTTTTCTTTATCTGTAAAATACTTTTTCATTCTTTTCAAGGCGCGTGACTTTGGTCCACGTCTATTTGCAGCTTGTGTCTATGGCTGGAAAGTATTTCGTGTAAATAATTATTATTTTTGGGTAGCTAGTATTGGTCCAATTATTGGTGCTATTATTGGTGTTTGGATTTATGAAGGTTATTTAATCCTGATGAAAAAGTATGCTAATTTACCAGGTATTATACATGTTGATGCTGTCGAACAACCGGATCAAAGAGAACATGATAAATCGTATCATATGGATACACAATTATCTTCTGAAAGTAATTGATTTTAACAAAAAAAAAATTTTCCTTTATGTAACACATTTTTCTATTATTTACAGCCACGCTGTCAACGTAAAATATGGCACTTGTGTTATTCATTATTTTATTATGTGAAGGAATTTAATCATCTTTTCAAAAAATATACTTGTAAATAGTGATGAGAAACAGTTTTTTGTTTTATTCATAATATAAATATATATGTATGAGTTATAAATTGAAATATATAAGCATATAATTATGTACGGTAATATATCGAGAAAAGGTCTATGTTTAACTGAATAGACACTTAGAAATCTTATGACCTTGTGTCTCATACGATTGTGGAAGAAAAAGGAGGAAAAAAAAGCACGAGCAAGAAAAAAAGGAAATATTCTTGTGTGCATTCTTGGGTTTGTATTCTTCGGCAACATAGTAATTTTGTCGGCAGCACAAAAACAAAAAAAAAATAGCATACAGATAATAAGACGATGGTGAAAGCCAAGGAATTACAACAATATTTAGCTCAATGTTTAGCTGAATGTTTTTCTACTTTTATGTTGATATTAATTGGTGAAGCATCAATCGCTCAATATAAGTTTTCAAAATCGGAACATCGTTCAATAATTGCTGTTAATCTTTCATTTGGCATTGGTGTTTATACGGGTATTTGTTATTGTTTTTTTTCTGTCTTTTTATCAATCTATTAGTTTAATCATTAATAACAAAAAGAAGAATTGTTATTATAATAATAATATGGAATGATTTACCATATTAAATATATTAGTAATGATAATTTAACTTACGTTGAAATTTAAGAGAATCATTTAAAGAAGTTCAATACAGACGTAGTTACTTTTCTTTTTTTTTGTAAGATTTTAGAAAACTAATTTGAGTTAGTATTACTTTTGTAATTGAGAGTTCTATTTCAACTATTTGCATATACTTATTGCTGTTTTTATAGGAAATAAATTAAATTCCCTACTGAATTTCATTAAATAAATCTTGCCTATGTACTGTTATCATCAATTATATCTATCTTGCAGATGCATCTATCGAAATAAATAATATACTTTTAACGCTGTTTTTTTTTATAGCATCATTTGCAATGACATATTTAGAATAATGTCTATTGTAATTTATCTTCTATCAATTGATTGATTAAACAAAGTTATGAATTTTACTGCATTAATTGTTCTCCTTCTATTTTGATTAACTGATGTTTCACGGTCTGGTAATTCTAGAGAAAATGCACTTTGATGTACACATCATTCACATATGGGATAATATTTCCATAGAAAGTCATCGTATTGTTTTCTACTTATTAGTCTCAAGGTCTTTTGGGATTTTTCTGATCAAAATACGGGAAGTCCGAGAAATTCGTGGCACCCTCTACAAAGCTGTCGTTCACGTGTCATCAAGAAAAGAACGAGTTCAACACAAACATTTTATGTAATTCGAATCGAACAAATATCATTGGTTGTTTTGAATGATATATTATATATTGTATCAAAATAGATGAATATTTTTGAAATCTGTTAAAACTGATAGAATTGAGTTGATTTCGATGCACTCTCTTAATGTTCTCGGTGAATTTGAATTCTTTCTAGTAAAAAAGTCGAATTTAGATGGAAAATATTCTCTGTAATTGTTTATAGCTGGTACCGAAAGTTGTAAGCACACTACCGCCCGTTCTTATGAGTACTGCGGTATAGTGATGGTAGTGTGAACAAAACGTGCAACATGGGTAGACATGAAATCAATAAAGTAAAAGAAATTAAAAGATTTTCTGAAGAAAATTTATTCAATGAATTTGATGTATATGTCAAAGTAGATTTTTCCTTAGAATCATCAGATCATGAATCATGAGTTTTTCTTTATTTTTTCAACGGTAATGATCGGACTCTTTTCTAGAATTCTGTATCGAACTCAAAAACTTGACTTCGACAGGATGATTGTGGCACACATCAGAGAAACATTTCTCATTAACAAGTAGTACAGAAAGATGTACATTTGCTAGTCAAAAAACAATAATTCTCTGGATCAAAAAGTTTATTTCTGTGCAGCATACTATTGTTTTCTTTCCACATGATAGATACTTGATTATTAGTTAAATAAACTAACTTTAGCAATAATATCATATATTCTATGTTGAATAAAATTTGTTATTAAAAGATAAAAAAAAAACATTTTTTCCTGTGTTATTTTTTTTTGAAAAATTATTTTGAACAGTATTGTTGTTCATTCAAGTTTTATTTCTTTCATCGAAAATATGACTTATTATTATTATTTACAATTATTTAAAATGTTGTCTAATTTCTTTTAGCACTAATGATTGCGGGACCAGTCAGTGGTAAGAAAAAAAAACAAATATTTAATCAATTTCTTTAATATCAATAAATGCTCTTTTTTTGTATCTAGGTGCTCATTTAAATCCTGCTGTTAGTATTTCACTGTTAACTATTCGTAAATTAAAACCAATACAATGTCTTTTTTACGTTATTGGTCAACTACTTGGAGCATTTTTTGGTGCTCTAATTGTTTATTATCTTCACTGGGGTTTATTTAATCGATTCGATGGTGGTGTACGACAAATAGCAGGTGAGAGTGGCACAGCTGATATATTTTTTACAATTCCAGAAGATGGTATACAACAATGGAATTTATTTTTTGATCAACTTATTGGTACAGCTGTTTTAATGATTTTTATTATGGCTTTAGGAAATGTAAGATAAATTATGTTTCAATTAAATTTATTTATTTTCATTGAATTTATATAGGATTTTAATCATATGATATCTGAAGTAGCTAAACCGTTTGCATTTACTCTTATCATTTTTGCTATAACTTCAGCATTTGCACGTAATTCAGGCGCTGCAGTTAATCCTGTATGTATAGAGTATAACATTTAACAAGAACAAACACATAATAATATGTTTATTTTTAACTTCTTTAGGCTCGTGATTTCGGTCCTCGTCTATTTGCTGCTTTTATCTATGGTTGGAAAGAAGTTTTTCAAACAAATAACTACTTTTTTTGGATTCCAATTTTGGGTCCAATTATTGGAGCAATTATTGGTGTTTGGTTATTTGAAGGTTATTTATTATTAATGAAACGTTTTGCAAATTTACCTAATGTGATAAATATTGGTTCTGTTGAACTACATCCTAAAGTAAAATCTACTGATGAGGCTGATCAATTAATGATTACACATAATCTTACAACAATTCATAGTTAAATTTAATAATTAGTTTTGCAATTCTTTTTTGTTTCTCTTTCGTAGTTTAGTTATTCATATTTTAAACTAGCTTGTGAAAGAGATGCTTCTTTTGCTAATTGCATTTTTGTGTTTTCGTGCACGTTAAAAAAGAATCGAACAACTATCTGGCTTTTATTTATTCAGGCTATTTATTTTAAACTTTTTTTTTTCTATTTTATATGCAAATAAAGAATTTTCATCACGTAAAGATATTAATGTCTATTGGCATTGATTCAAGATAATTGAATATTAATTTCAAATTCTAGAAATGATCAATCGAAATGTTTAGAAAAAAAAAATTATTGTTTATTTATCAACATTTTAATTTAGTTTCATTCCTTGAAATCAAACGATATGACAAATTCATGTATTAGATGTTTCACAGAAGAAACAGAGATGCATACGAACGATAGAATATGTCAATAGAATCCATATAAAGAAAAAGAAAAACAAAACATTTGGATAAAATTCTTTTCGTTAAAATGTAAATAGATGATATTTTCATTTAATATCTCTTACAATGTCTGAAAAATAGAATGAATTTTTTTGTTTCATGAATTAATTTAATATTATACATGAATATGATTGTTGCCCAAAAGTAAAAGATACAAATAAGAATATCAGATCAAATGTTACAAAGAAAAGAAAAGAATTTTCTAGGTATAGAAAAATAATTTTTTTTGGAATTTTACAAAAATTAAACAGTAATTGTATTTGATGCAATATGTAATCCAACTGATCCACGTGCACTTGTACTACGTGACGAACGAATATTTCTTTTCGTTTGATTATGATTATTTGTTTGTCTTGTTGAATCAATAGGCATAATTGTTGATGATATTTGTGAAGAAGTACTATTATTTGTAGCATATGGTGGTCGAACAATCGTTAATAAATTTTGAAAACGTTCTTGATTTATTTCATGAATATTTGTTTTATTCATATGACGATTTATTTCATTTAAATCATTAATTGGATCATTTCGAAATGGATTTTTAGAATTAAAATGAATAACATCCGAACGTTTTAATTGTTTAACTGATCCATTAGCAGTTATTGGTCGATTATCAGTTATTGATGATGATTTATTTAAATTTAAATCATCGTTATCATCAGAAGTTTTTGAAGCTGAATTTTTAAGTGAAATTGAGCGATGTGGATTTAATTTTGAATTATTCATTTGTTGTTGATGATGATGATTATTATTATTATTAGTTGTTGTGGTTGTTGTTGATGAAATTCCTGTTGCTTTTATTTTAATTGGCGAATTAAATTGTTGTCGAAGTGATATTGAATGAAGTAATGAACGTTGACGACTAGTTGATGTTGAAGATATTGATGAACTAGTAAGTAAAATTCCATTACTATTATCAATTGATTCTGATTCATGACTTTGATTATGAGAATCTTGTGTTGATGATGAATGAATATTACTACCATTATGTGTATTTTCAGACAAAATATCCATTGATGAGTTACTAGGCATATCATGAACTGGTTTAGGAATATAATTTAATGGTTTTTCACGTTGTAAAATATATTTTCCATTTGAATTATCATTTAATGAAGTTTCATTTGATAATGATTGATTAAGTATATCAGGTAAATGTGTACTACGTGATGAATTTGTACGGTGTGTAAGAAGTAATTGTTGTTTTTTAGTATTTAATTCTTGTCCAATATGATGATATGATTGATGTGATAGTGGAAGAGTAGAATTATGTAGTGTTTGTGGTTGTTGAATTGATGGTGATATATAATTATTACCATTTGTGTTAGAGATTCTTTTTTTTGTACGCTGTCGATGACGACGTTTGATATGATTTTGTTGAGATGTTTCATTGTTATCTTCAATAATTTGTATTTTATTAAAATCAGCAAAATAAACTCGTGGACGACGAATATCATTTTGATGTATAAGTGTTTGAGATAATGGAAGAGAATCATCATCATTATCAATTGTAACATTAGGAAGTTGATCATCTTGAATTTTAATTGCTAATGGATTTGCTGGTGCTGGACTTGTAAATGTTGATGAATGAAGAGGTGTATGACGTGATAAAGCAGTGCCTCTAAAATAGAAAAAAAAAATAAAAAAACATGGTTTTTTAAACAATTTATTAAATATAACAAAAAATCAAATTTGTTGTTCTTACTTGATTAGTCCAGGTAATGATTTTGCTTTTTTAATATGTCTGTCAATGAAAAGTTTTTTTGGCAAATCAATATTATCCAGTTTTTGATATTGTTTATTCGTGTTGTTACCAAATGGTCCATCGATCATTGTTATACTACAAGGAACGATCGTTGGTGATGATACTAAGGGTGGTGTTGGAGTTCGAACAGGACTTTGTAAATGTTTTGTTCGATAATCATATGTATGAACTGGTGATTGATATTGATGAAAGTCTGTTGTTAAACTAACACCATTAACATGTAACCAAACCGATGGTGGCATAGTTAAATGCGATGGTTCAACAAACATCTTATTTGATGCTGGCATTTGAAAAGACCATTTCAATATTACAAATGTATGTGTATGTTTGAGAAGATTTCTTCTTCTTTTCTTTTTGCTTGCTTTTCTTTCCTTTTTCGTCTTTAGATTTTGTATTTTATTGAAGAAAAAAAATAATGGAGAGCGCTTTTGTTGTTGTTCATGGTGAAGAAAAACAGTACGTACGTACATCAAAATTGTATGTTTGAGCACTTAAAAATAAATGAATGCATATACGAAACAAAAACGAAAAAAAAACAGTAAATGTGATGCACAGAGGCGTACTACTTAAGTTTAACGTCTTACGATTAATACTTTGGTCTCTCTGCTTCTGATTTTACTTTATTTTTCGTTTTTGTCTAATGAAGAAACTCTTTTCATATATCAATTTATATCGTGCTCGAACTTTATACATTTTCAAAGATGTTATTATTATAATTATTTGACATAGTCATTATTTTGTTTCTTTTTTTAGACGTTTGAAAAAAGAATAGGGTTTTTTTTCGTGACAACAAATGATTTGTTATTGAAGTTAATCTGCAAGTGAGATGTGACATGGACACCAGGAAAAATAGGAAAGAAAAATCAATTGATTTTTGTTGTTGTTTCAATTCAATGTTTTACTGTTGTTCTCTTTCTGTTTTTTTCATTGACATTCTTTAATCTTCAGCTGTAATGAAAAGGACAATTCGATAACAAGAAAAAAAAGTACATTAATAAAGTCTTACTGAACTTCACGAAAATTTACTTGTCAAAAGAGTGCACTTTTTTTCGCTTTTTATTCGAATATCAAAAATCAATTTTCAATTGTTTTTTTAAAACTATGAATGATTGACATAGTGAGAAAATACGAAATAACCATTAAAAACAATTAGACTTTTCAATATAATGTGTCTCTTTGTTGGTTTCGGATTAATAATCATTAGATTCGATAGAGAATTTATAGTGCATCCATTCGACCCTAAACATTTGTCGATAATTAATGTAGGATCAATTCATGACATCTGGACGTCATTCTACATCTATTAGAGAACTTATTTTGTAGAAACATAAATGCTAAAGTGTTTTAAAAAAGAACTTTTAAGAAGCCTTGCATATCAATGCAATTGAATGAAGCCTTCTTTAGCATAAAATCAATGTTGATGATTGCTTTCTTACCATACAGTAACACCTCAACTATATGACTAGGTAGTCTACGCACAGTAGAAAAACTTAGTATAGGTGAAAAGAACTTAATCATTCATTTATGTCATGAGTTTTGAATATAAACAATCACATGATATGAAAAGTTAGATGTATGCGTTCGGCCTCTCATTATAAACATTTGTAAAATGAAATTCTTTACTGCTAATTATTCAACATACAATTAAAATAATTCTTTAAAAGAATGAGACTCTATCTTTCTGAAACTTTGTTTTTTCTGTAAATAAATTTGTGAAGATCAAAAAAAATCTTTGACAGATGACCGTATGACTATATTTGTTCATTTTAGTGTGATACCTCAATTTTCGCATCTGGCAAACTTTCCATTTTTGTTTTAAATCAAGCATATACTCTAATATCTAGTTGATGATCCTAATAATCAATATGATCTTTGTTGAGTTTTTGTTGCTATCAGTTTCATACAATGTTTTAAAGTAGTATATAATATATATTCTCTATCTAATGACTTGTAAGTCACAATATTTCAATACGTGAGATAGTTCATAAAATCAAACTGCAAATGAAAATTTTAGACAACGACAGTAAAATTCCTCTATGTCAATACTTCCTTAGACTAATCACTTTATAGTCCACTCAAGCGAATTTTGCTAGGAATGAGCCTCTCAAACATGGGCACCTCCTTATTTTGAGCTGTGAGCAGTTATTTCTGATTCCATGAGCAAAACAACCTCTGCAATATAAGCAACATATGTTCTTTCACTCGCGTAAATACAAGACAAGAATAAAAAACAATATAAGACAACAGTAACGATGTTTGATTTAATATCTCATCGGTTTTTGTGTCAATAGCTAGTAACATTAAATTATATCCGCATGTCTTTTGATTTACCTCTGATTAAAAAGAAAGTTTGAATTAGTTAATTGCTCAAAAGAAGAAAAAGATGATCTTGTGGTATTACAACTGAATACTTACAGGTTACAAAAAAGAGACTAAAAAAACCTCCCAATAATGAGCATCTCTGTAAAGTGAGCACATTTGACTGCTTTCAATGATACCTACATTAGAGAAGTCTTACTGTATTAATATGTAATTCTTTTTTAAAGCTATCTTATTTTGCTCTTTTACTTGATTACTTTTGAAAAAAGACATAAATATGTAAATTTTTCACTCTCTCTTTAAGTATACTTGTTTTTGCTATAGTAGAAGCATAATATATTAGTAAGAATCTTGTTTTTTTTATTTTACTTATTCTTCGAGCACATTGTGAATCATTCGATGCTTTCAATTGACATAATGTATTATAAAATACAGAACAGTTAGGTTATTGAGTTTGAATAAGGCTTTTTCAAAGCACAGAATTTTATACGATACTTGAAAAAATAGAAAGAACTGCACTTCTATTTTATTCATTGACAAAATTTTTAATACATCGATTTCTTCATTCATTGGAGAGAACAGACAAAAGTCAAATATATATTTTGATAAATTTCACTCATTTTGTTTTCATAACATGGATTGGATTCGAAACAGAAACTTATGCAAATACAAGGCATACATACGCATCAAAAGTTGACGTTTTACATCGCAGTGATCTCAAGAACAGAAATTCATAGAATATTTGTTGAAACGTTTAGTGATAGTGTTGAGATTGAACCGGAAGCAGTGTTTTCAAATTTTCTCTAAGACTTTTCGCTCGTTCATAAATGGCATCGCAAAAAAAACACAAATTTTTGGAGACTCAGTTTTTTTTAGCTTTTAGATAATTCAAATTTTCTCGACATAAAATGTAAGAGCTTAAAAACAAAGACTTTGTCAAGCGCTACAAGTTGACATACTCTTTCAAATAATGAAAATGTTGAATCTACGGAATGAGGGCTCGCAGAGAACTTTGAGTTGCCAAATGTGCTACAATTGAACCTTGTTTGTTGAATATTTCTCAAGAAAGTTTTGGTATAGAGCTGAAAATTCCATACAATTTGCATGTGCCTATGGGTCAAGAGGGATTTTTGAGGGAGAAATAAATAAACAACTAACAAGGGAACCTCTCCAGGTGTCAAATGGCTTTTTCGGCTGAGACAATGTTCATTTGATGAATACTAATTAGTGTGTAATAGAATAGCCTAGAGTGATTTAGTTTTCGGAACCTTCGTTCTTGAAATATCCAAATTTTACTAGATTTTGAACAAAAATCTGTGGCCTCCCTAATCATAGTGTCGACTTCAAACGTTGCACGAACAAAGTTCTCAATGAGACTATAGAAATTATTTGAAACATAAAAAACTACTAATAAACTTTTTAGTGATCTAATTTAATAATGAATTATTATCGATAATATATACATCATTTTTTACAAACAACTAATCGATTTAATGTTAAGACATGACAAATGATTAACATGTCAAAAGATATATCGAAATAAATTATTTTTATTTTCATATATTTTCATTTACACTACTGGCCAAAAGTATCCCCCCCTCCTTCGGATTTCAGCTACTATAAGGCTGTTGCTCTGAAAATTGGAGTTTATATGGGTCTCGGTAAATGTAGGTCGGTGGCAAAACTCGCGTCTCTAAAGAATGAGTTACAAGAGAGTTATTATGCAAGCGGTTCATCGCCATTGTAGACCATAACTTGACAACAACAAGACATTTTGAGCTGAGGATTTCGTCATTTTACAATTCTGTATATTTGCTATGTCTGATAAAAATTTCATCAAAATCATCGAGTCATTGTGAAACAAGGTTCATTTTACTATAGACATGAGTGACGTTAAAAACGGTCAGTTTTTAATGTGTTGACCAGAACTCAGTCTAGGATAGGCATATAAACCTCAAATTTACAGCATAGAGTATCTCATAGATGTGCAGCATTCTCTGAATTTTTCAGACTTATATCACCGACCAAAACAAAATGACACTATGCTGAAGGTACAGATGTTGTCATAGGTCTAGATACTC